CGGGATGACCAGGGAGGAGTCTGTGTGGTAGTCTCAGCATTCACTGCAAGCGGGCCTTTGTGGAGTGCGTGACTCAGAGGGACTGACGGGTGTGGTTACCGAGTGAGAAAAGCAGGACGGGAAAGGAAAATCCTTCCAGTATGCGTGTGTGTCCCACTGCACTTCTTAAAGTTGTTCAACTAAACTTTATATTTAAACTATTCAGTTTTTAAATTTCTGCTCTAGTTTTACCTTTCAAACATTCTTATTTGGCTGGGTGTGGTGGTACAATGCCTATAATCCAAGTACTCAGGAGGCTGAGGCAGGAGGAAGACGCTGTAAATTTGAGGCCAGCCTGGGCTACAAAGTGAGTTCAAGTCCAGCCTAAACTACACAGTGAGAGCTTATCTCAAAAAACTTAAGAGTTCTTATTGTTTTGGTCTATCCCTTTTTACATAACATTCTGTTCTTGTTTCATGGATGTAGGTTTCTCTCTCAAATTCTCTGTATGACCTGTATCACTCCAGCTGATTTTTCTCTGGTTGATCTGATCACTATCATTTATGGCAGAGGCTTCTTCTAATGTCTGCTAATTGGCACTGCCTGCTCAGGTTTCAGAGTAAAAGACTAAGAGTCCTCCTGGATGACTCTTGACCGTACTGAGTTTCCCTGCAGGGCAATTTTCTCAGCCTTGGCACAATGCATGTTTTGAGCTGGATAATTCTTTGTTGGGTGTGTGAGTCTGTGCAATGTAGAGCGTTTAGCAGCACCCATAGACACACACAGCAAACACCCACACTCCGGTCTGTGTCCTGGATGCTCCAAATGTCCCCTGGGGGAACGTCCCCCAGCTAAGATCCACTGCTGTAGCCTGATGGGGCTGGTCCCTACTTAGGGAATCCCAAATGTTGGCATCTTCTGTGCTTTCCTTTGGGATGTCCATGTTCCTCCCTCTTTCCCTCTCCCTTTCAGAACATTTTTTAATTTTTTAACTCTCTTTTTTAAACCAGCTAAGGCTGATTCTTGCTATCCATTCGCATAGGGTCAATAATCCGAGATGCAAGACCTCCCCGTGCAGAGTCTGGATCTCTCCCAGGGCCAGCATTGGGGTAGAATCTGTTCTGGCTCACGTGTGGTTCTCTGATGACATGGGCAGCAAAGAACGAAGCCAGAGACCAACGCTTTAACCATCTAGGCTGAGAGCAGCCCGAACGGAATCATAGTAACCGAGTGTGGGCACTGCAACTTAAGACTGGGCAAGAAGTTGGGAAGTGAGGATCTTAATTCTGACTTGAAAATATTCACACATTCATGGATGGGGAGTTTCCCCTTCATGAGAAGCATCGGAGAGGGAAAAGTGAAGGGGGCGTATTTTTCCTCCCCCTGAATTCCAGTGGACACCCCAGCTTCCCCATTCCATACCTGGCTGCCCAACACCTCTGAACCTTTCATACACAAAGCAAATAAAAGCTGTGTCTACTCAGCACCTCTACATGAAGCCTAGAAACATTAATCAGGCCTCCAAATGTTTTCCTAAATGGGACATCAGCCGAAGGTCATTCATGAGTGTCTAGTTCTCACCCTCAGGACAGGACCAGAGCCCACCCAGCTGGCTCTATGGAGTCTGCACTGTTCTCTTGGTTCTCTTTGTTACTACTTCACCTGGATGCAAAGTGTCTCTCTGTCCCCACCATTAATCACAAGATACAGTTGTACTCAAAAGTGGATCTGAATGAAAATTTCCATCGTGGATTTTATGGCATGTGAACCAGATCTCAGTAAAGCTGTAAAAAGAAAAACACTTGAGAATATGGAGTGACTTATGAAATACCCTCAAATTTTCAATTTCAGAGAAAGTTGTAGCTCCTAAATACAAATCCAGAGTCCCTCAGGGACGCCCAGGTGGTGGCCGGTCCCAGGGACAGTGTCCAGGAGGCCACCCTTCAAACACCTGGACCTCAGGCCTTGTCACCAGCACCGGTGGGGGATGCAGTTCAGCTCATAACAGTCAGGCTGTTCAGTTCTCCAAAAGTTCCCCTTGCAAGGGTGCTGGGACAACGGGAGGTGGCCCTGCCTCTGGGCCTGTGTGGCCAGTCCCCGACGCAAAGATGTAAGTTTGTATTTTCTAGTAGCCAAGTGCAACAAGTTAAGAAACAGGTGAAATTAATTTTTATTAATTTAACCCAATCTATCTAAAATATTACTAGCTTAGCCTGCAAATCACATATGAATTATGTGATGTATTATAAATTTTTTCTTTTATATTAAGTTTTCAAATTCTGGCTCGCAGCCTGCGGTTACAGCACGTCTCAGTATGAGGAGCTGGGTTCTGGGGCTTGATGGCCCTTCGTGGGGAGCAGCTGCCTTGTTGGGCTCGGCAGCCCCTGACGCAGTGGCTGTCCCCACAGCCCTCCCCTCACCCTGTGCTCCACATGCCCCTTGCTCACCCACGGGACACAATCAGAACATGCAGAGCCTTTTAGAAAAACTACTGCAAACTCTTCCGTGTTTCTACACAATTGTGGTGAAATACACAGCAAATGCAGTTTTTCACCGTTTCTGCGCAGTTCAGCAGTGTTAGATGCATTACATCGTTGTACACCCGACACCACCATCCACCTCCAGCACTGAAACTGTCCCCATTAAACAGTAAGTCTCCCTCTTCAGCCCCCAGCCCTGGTGAGCCCTGTCTCACCTGGTTTGTACTGTTCCAACAGAACACACGATGCTAGGTGATTTACACAAAACATAGACTTGTTTTCTCACAGTTCTGGAGCTGGGGAATCCAGGATCAAGGTGCCAGCTGGTTCAGTGTCTGCCAAGGCTGGTTTTGTGCTTCCAAGTTGACACCTTGTAGCTCCGTCCTCCAGGAGAGAAGAAGCGCTGCAACCTCGTGGAGTAGAAAGCAGAGAGCACGCCTCTCGGCAAGGGCCTGTATCCCATTCCCCGGCTTCATGCAGCCGTGTGGTAGTGTTATAGACAGCTAAGTTAGGTGAAGTACTGTAGGGAGCCAGACAGGGCTGAGCCCTCCAAAGCTCAGGACAAAACGTAAAAAGACACTACAAATGTGGCCAGAAACACGCCAGCTGGAGGCCAGGCCTCAAGATAACAACAAGAGGACCAGGCCTACATACTTCCCTCAGGATGAGATAAGTGGTAACACCTGGTCTAGTAACGTCTAGCTAGGCACCAGTGGCCTCAGTGAGTGACCAAGACCCCAGACCATAACCTACCTGAGAAGTCTTTGTTCTTTCCATGTACTCTTGCTATATGACTTGCTTCCTTGGATCACTATTACCTAAGCGACTGTACTTGTAATCTTATTGGTTGATCATGGCTGTGGCCCACGCTGTACCCACGAGTTTTGCTCTATAAAACTCCCCTGTAGAGTGGGGCTCCCGACTACCTATTCAGGTCTCCTTCCAGGAGATGTCCTATCAATAAATATTTTCCTACTTTTAACCTCCGTTGTTCCTAGAATTCATTCTTCGATTTTTTTTTTTTTTTTTTTTTTT